GGGCCGCCGCCACAGGGGCTGCGCTGGCAGGTACAGCCCGGCCGAGGGGAGAACGGGGCGCCGCCGCCTCCGCCCGCGCCCCACGCGGGGTGCGGACCGCGGCGGGCAGCGCCGGGCGGGCGGGCGGGCGGCGCTCCACACACGGCAGCGGCGCGATGCTGGGCCGGCACCTTCGGCTGCTCCTGCAGCCCCGCGGGCGCTGTAAGGGGGGCGGGGGGGGGAGCACACGCTGCCCGACCCTGGCGGGGATTGCGGGGAGCGCACGCTGCGCAGCCCGCGGCCCTGGGGAGGTGGGGGGAGCACACGCTGCCCCGCTGAGCGCCCGCCGCGGGCCGGGCTGACAGACGAGCCCGCCTGGCGCGCGGGCAGGACCCTCCGCGCGAGCGCGGGGTGCCCGGTAGGACCTGGACGAGGCCATTATCACAGGGAGGGGGGGTGGGGGTGTGGCGGGGGTGCGCTGCGCACAGAAAAGCCGCGGACGGGCCGGTTCCCCCCCTGTCCCCGCCCGCAGTGGGCCGTGCCGCGTTTTGGCGGGCTCTGTCAGTCCCCTCACGGCGTCTCCCCATCCTTTAGCCATGCCCGCCTCCGAGGCCGTGCCGCAGCCGTCCCCCAGCAAGAGGCAGAAGGGCTCGGGTCCCGGCGAGCAGAGCACACGGCTCCGCTTCACCAAGCTGTCCGAGAACGCCTTCGCCCCCTCCAGGGGCTCCGCGCGGGCTGCGGGCTACGATCTGTACAGGTGAGGGTGAGGGTGCTGCACCCGGGGGTGGCGATGCCGCCCCACTCGGCGAGCCCTGGGCGGGGGGCTCTGGCGGCTGAGGGGCTGTCGTGGCCTCTTGCTGAGCGGAGCCCCCGGGGGGCTCGCCGGCCCTGCGGGAGAGGGGGTCAGAGCTGCCCTGGTAGTTATCTCCCTTGCTCCTCCATCCTTCGCCCTTCATCCCCAGGTATCTGTGGTCCAGCCGTGCTGCATCACTGATTTCATCAGAGGGGGATGCAGTCGTTGGCCGAAAGCCAGGCTTGACACATCATCCAGAATTGCTGTTGGTGCCAGCATTGGCCCGGTGCCTCACTATTGAAACAAAAAAAGTGGTAGTGCACGTGGGCCCTCCTTGCCAGCGCTTGTGCTTTTCTGCTTTCCCCCTGGCTGCTGGGTGCGGCAAAGGGAGTTGTGGCAGTTTGATAACGATCTTAGCTGGAAACCCATGTGGGTTAATGTACAGACTTAGGTTTGGGTGAATTTATAACCATTGTTCAAAGGTTTTTGCCATGTTCAGGAATAGTTGCAGCTTGTGGTAGTTTACATAGTGCTTCTGGGATCCAATACAGTCACTAGTTACATCTGAACTTCACTGCATCCTCTTCTACCTTTTTTACTATTACTTAAAGTAATCAGCCTGTGTTTTTCTTCCTTCACCTCTCTGAATTCCTGAAGATTTGCCTCAGCACCCTTTTTCTTTGTATTCCTTTTGTCCTACCGTGGTGCACTGTAGACCTGGAAAAAGTCTTGTTTTTTAAAACACCTTTCAGTGCTTCCAGTGTTTAAAAATCAGTTCCTTGTCAAGGTCAAGATATAACAATTGTTGTCACCACTGCCTTTCATTAAGCCTCCAGTTGGGTATTATCAGCAAGTTCTTAAAATCTCTGTAGTTCCCAGGAGAATCTTGTGACTCGTGAACTGTCAGTTTGCTCAGGAAAAAAAGCATTGTTGCCTAAAATTTAACTTAAAAAATAATTCATTTTAATTACAGTTAGTTCATCTGCTGTAGAAAGCTTAATCAGAGAGTGTGTTATCCCTTAAGTTTGCTTTTGCACAAAAAAATGCACAACCACGTTCACCCAATGGTTGCTTTAAAGTTAAACTTGTACTTTCTGTCTTACCAGTTAAAAATATTTAAAATTGGCAATTGTAAGACTATGCTGTTCAAATGACACTTCCAAAATTTTAAACTAGCACTGTCAAAATTAGAACATCTTGTATCTTAGGATCTGCATTAGATTTTGCAAATCTGTAAATATTTTTCTGTAAGTTCCATTTTATAATAATTCTGGTAATTTTTTACCTTGAGTTACAGAGAAGAAAATTTTAAAAATATTCTCTATAAACTAGTGTTTCTTTCTTTTATGTAGTGCCTATGACTGTGTGATACCACCCATGGAAAAGGCAGTAGTGAAAACAGACATTCAAATAGCACTTCCTTCTGGGTGCTACGGCCGAGTAGGTGAGTAAAGAAGCTATAAAAAGGCTGCAGAGTCATTCTAGAACAGGTTTGGCACCATCTTCAGCTTTCAGAATTAGTCTACACAAAAAAGAGATGCCACCTGGCTGTGTGATTTATTTAAGCCTTGTAGCAGACATTTGAACTTTGGTGTCAAGTGACAAAGAGATGATTGGCAAAAATGGTCATAATCTACATACAACTTTAGAGGCTCTGCTATAGCTCGTTATTTCTTTGTGGTTTCAGAATTTGAATTTGAATTTTGAATGAAACGAAGACCAATAGGTAATGAACATACAGCAAATACATCCCTGGATGTTTAAAAACTAACCCCAAAGTAAGAATACTAGTGAAGTAGAATTTGACTACTTTTTGTGACAGAATACTTGGGAGAACTTTACGAGATATTCTGTTTATTTTGTGCATTCTTTTTATGAATTATCTATGAATTCATAAAGTAAAAAAGCAATAGCCACTCCAGTGGAAGAGCATGATCAGTTTGCCATGTCCTTTTATTTAAAAGAAATACATATGTGCACTTCTCTTATCCCAAAGAAAATTTTGAAGAGTGTCATCAAAGTAGTCTAAGGGAAGTAAAACCCCAAACCCCCGCACATAATTTATCTGTGTAAAATACTGCTTAGTAAGTTGCTTGCCAAATATTGTTTTCCATCATAACTTAAATGGATTGGCCTCATAGTCTTTTGAGATTATGTCAAACCAGTGGTAGTCACCAAAAACAAACCAAGATTGGACAGTCTTTGTCTGATCCTGTTGCCTTCCTTGGAGAAACCTACTCTGCATTTGTTGGTCTAAACAAAGATATGCTTATATCACTTAAAAACTGCAATTTTATTGTAGCCAGTAGCAGCTGTTATTTTGTTTAATATATATATATATAAAATAACAATAATTCCTGTAAAATCATGTTTGTTTTAGACTGTGGAAGCAGTTCTTGTTGCCACAACTATGCAAACAGACTATATAACCTATAAATATTGTCTTTTAAAAGAAATAAATTATTACACTTTAAAAAAATTATTCTTTTCTAGCACCACGTTCTGGTTTAGCTGCAAAGCACTTCATAGATGTTGGTGGTAAGACTTTTGTTATTTTTGTTAAGACTTTGTAAATATGGATCACAGAAGATCCTTAATTTCCCATTGTAATGTGTGTAAATAAATAATGCTTCATGGGTAGTCTGGCAAAAGGAGATGACTGGGTAACACCTCAGAGAGCCAGTGCATCATAATTATTTTTAAACCTGCTGAATTATAAAGTTATTACTGATTATTTAAAACAATAACCGTATCATGCTTTTGTAGGCAATGCCTGCCATAGAAGTTATTTTTTGCTATAGGTGTTAAAGATGACTTTTTATATTCTGCTTTCTCCATTTTGACTAAACATCTCTGTGTGATTCTTTTCAGTCTAGTGTAAGATCTGACTGAATTAAATAAGTAACATACAAATAGTCTTTTACACAGAGAATGTAGGGCAATGATATTGGAAAGGGATGATAGAAAGCACTAGAATAATGTTTTTCCTTCTGGAAAATGTGCATGCACAGCACCCCCTATGTTTTGTTCACTGTTCCTTTTGACAGTGCTCTGTAATTGGGATCCCTTTAAGCAATTGTGTATCAGTTAAATACCAGCAAGTTAACTTGGGAACTAGTGCAGAGACTGTGCAGTAACTATGGATCATATGTACTTCAATTTTTTCACAATGCTGAAGAAACTAATTAAAAAACCAGTTTGCTATTCTTAGGTGTGCATCTTGTGGTTCAACATTACAGCTTCAAGGTATAATACAATTTCCTCAGGTGTTTATAATCTCTAAGGGTTGTACTTTCTATAGATCTGGAATTGTCTTGGAATGGTATGTAATTTAATATTTGAATTTTTTCTGTAAGTAGACTTCAAAATACTTACTCAGGTCCACAGGGAGGCCCAAACTTCAGATTTTCTACTGGAAATGTTGTATCAGAGAGAAAAACTCCAAAGAAGCAGAATATAATTATATTAATGTGCATTGGTAGATAATCTTCTGAACTATGTAGTTAATACAGTTATACAAAATATAAGAGCAAGCTGGTTTTCAGCCTTGATACTTAAATATAGCAGAATGACAATCAGTTTCTTAAAGCTCCTGCCAGAGGTACAGGATTTGGATCTGTGCAAATCCGTAGCTCTCAGAGGAAATGTTAAAGATAACAACAGATTTTTCCTTGACACTCAAAGAGCTGAAGTTAGCAGAACAAATGGAGCCTGAAGTTGGTCCAGCTGTCTTGATTTCAGATGGGGTATTACAACTAAAATTAGTAGTACAGTGGTAAAACACTTCCTGACGTGTGATGGTGTTTTTCAGTTCTTTTTGCAAGGCTGATTAGCATTTTGAGAGTCTCAGTATTTGCATATATATTGTTTGATTGTGCATGAGTAGTATAAAGGATGTCAGTATGAGACACTGTGATGATTTATAAATCTAAACATTATCTAATCTAGCGATCTCATATACTGACATTTATTAACTGGATGTCCCTCTAAATTCTTTCTCCTGACAGCTGGTGTTATTGATGAGGATTACAGGGGAAATGTTGGTGTAGTACTCTTCAACTTTGGCAAGGAGACTTTTGAAGGTAATTGTTGAGCTTGGCAGAGCCTGTTTTCAGCCATCTGACTGGGAATGAGAAACTAACTTTTTCTTTAAATGTTTATGCAGAGTTAACATGAGCTAAGAACATTTTTCTTCTTTCAATTAACAAAAACATAGATACTTAATAATGTCATGTCAAGGAAATACAAAAAGATTCCACTCGTAGCAAATTAAGCAGCATGCAAAAAAACCCACCCCCCAAAACACCCCACCACCACAAAACCAAACCAAAAAAACCCTTACTTAGCTAAGCTTTAACTTCACAATCTGTACTGAAGTGCAGATTGTGTTAAGCTTCTTTATTTCTCTGGAAAAAAGAAAATTCAGCTGAGGAGTATTTGAGATAAAAACTTCTCCAGGATCCTGGGAAACTAATAAAGATAGGAATTTTCCTTTACCATGCTGTCTCTCTGGAAACAGTCAGTTTTAAGCCTCAGTGCCCAGTTAAAATATTGCCAGTGCAGCCTCTTCTGCATCTTCACAGCACAGGCTTCTTAGGGAGGTTCTGTGAACCAGCTTGGGTACTAGTGAGAAATCCTGTTTTCCTTTTATCAGTTCAGTTTTTTCCCCCCAGATTCCTGGGTCTAGTTCACAAAAGGAACCACATTATCCATACAGCTGTCTCTCCATCTCTGCACTACTTATGCTTAAATGACACTTAAGATGCCAGAGGATGGCAGCAGGAATGAATGGAAGTGCCTTGAGCTGGTCCAGCTGCTGATACTTCACCTTAAAAGGGCTAAGCACAAGTTTATTTCTACCTGTGTTTTTCTGGGGCTGTCAACATCTGCTTAACTAAGTTTCAAATAAGTGCTTTCACTTTTATTATGTTCTGATACTCTTGAAAGGAGATTGTCTAAACTCTGTATTGATTATTCACTGTTTTTGAAGGAACTAATAATATTTTAACTTCATTGCAGTTAAAAAAGGGGATAGAATTGCCCAGCTCATCTGTGAACGCATTTATTATCCTGAGCTAGAAGAAGTTGAAGTAAGTTGCCAAAAAAAAAATATTTCTTTTATTTTCCATGATTAATAGTTTAAGATATTTGTATATAAGATGAAATTTATGATATAGATAAATACTTTGCTAAAATTACTTTCAGTGTTAAAACTGCGTAGCAGCAGTGCTACTTAAATGAAGTCTTGGTTCTTTGCTCACCCCTAGGTGGATTTTTTTTTTTGGTAGTTTTCAGAGTTAACAGGTACTTGAGAAATACTTCAGTCTGTACTAGAAATGGTTGTCTCACAATGTGGCATTTGTTTAAACTTGTGCAAAAAGTATTCCAAAGTGTCTCATAAAAATGTTTTGGTTTCTCAGTTATAGCTCTTGTTAAATGTAAATGTACCTTTCTCCACGGTAGAGAATATCTGTTGTATAGAAACAAAAAGCAAGTAAAGGCACTAACCCAGCTTATCCTAATTGATGTCTTTCAGGCTCTGGATGACACAGAACGTGGTGAAGGTGGCTTTGGTTCTACTGGGAAGAACTGAAAATTACTTGAATATGCTTTATATTTTTTTTCTTGTTACACTGTTTCTAAATTTTCATTTGAATTAGAAGTGGGATTTTAGGACTGCATAAGAACATTTCCAGTTTTATTCCAGCTTCTCTGTATCCTCCTGTCTATTTTTACAGGCAGTGAATTTGCATAATGGGGAAATGTGCATGACTGGCTTGGCTGATCAGTTGATGTTTGGTCCTCAACAATAAGAATGTGTTGTTTATGTGTTGATGATACTCTAATAAATTAAAAAATAACTTTATGATTTGATTTTATTCATCTAAACTAAAAAGGACCAATTTTGCCAGTTTGCATTAATCTTCTGAAATCTATCCTCCATGTGGCTCAGGTTTTCATACTGAGAGCCTATTTCATACATTTCGATATGACCCCTGAAAAAGGCAAAGATATTAATATTGCATCTTCTACAAACTGTCCAAATACTTGTGTTTCTGTTCAAAGCTAAAATTCTGACTTTGATCCTTAGCTGATCTTCAAGCAGCCAATTTTTCCACTCTCTTATATTAAGAGCAAACAATACAATGTTTGAGCTAAATAACAACTGGTCTGGAAACAACTTCTGTATAGTAAGTGCTATGAAATATGCTGTTGACATATTTGTTGACAAATCTATTAATATGTTACTGTATGAGTTATTGAAGAAGTGCACAAATTGTTTTTTCTGTTCGATTTTGTCCATTTAACAGAGAACTCTTTGGAACCTGTCCTGAACCTGATTTCATAAGTGTGGGAATCTCTTAAATGCCTCAAAACCTTTTAGGTGAAAGAACATGCACAGGAGAGCAGAAACAAAAAAGGAAAAAATAATGACTATTTTTCCACTTTACATAAGAATTAGAAAAAGGCTGTGAGACTCTCAAACATTTTTTTCCTGCAGCTATCAATGTTCTTTTTAGATTTTCTTGGCTGAAAGGTCACAGGTACGAAATTCTGTGTTTTAAGTAGTGCTTCAGCAGTGGAAAGGTGGGCCTTTTGTAGACTTAAGATGTTCATTCTTCTCAGATTAGAATAATCCTGCTGGTATTAGTTTTATGTCCTTGTCTAGAACTAACCATTTTCAGTGAAATAAGCCCAAAATATTTTACATTTTGTATATTTTATCCCACCCTCCCCCACAGTGAGCTGTAAAATAAAGTGGAGTATGAGAGCATTCATATTCCTTCAGCTCTGGGATAGTTATTACATTGACTTGGCAGTGCTGAAACAGTAAGTACATTCATCTTTCCCTCCCATGTGCATGATAAGCTTATTGTCTTTGTTGTTGTTGTTCCCTACCCCTCATCACAACACTGTCCTTGCATTTGTATACCCAGACCTTCCTGAGCAGGCTCACCAGGCCAAAGCAAAGAGCACATCACACCAGTGCAGCTTCAAATGAATTGGAAAAGCTGAGCTTGACACTGAGTTTCTTGCATTCTGTAACCTACCAAAAAGGAACTTCAGTTACCAAAGGCTATTTGTAGGTCTTAGAATAACTATGACTCCTTTATGTAAAGCTGTTTCCTCTTGTCATGCTGTAAGTCAAAGAGCAAGTTCTAATACTCCAGAATCTGAGATAAGAAGGAATACTCATTGCTAGAAAAAGCAGTTTGTGAGATAGTATCTCAGAAACATGATGAAGAAATATATCCATGCCTGCTGTAAGTTGCCAACATAAAACCCAATACCTAAGTGTTATTACCAGAAAAGGCTCACTTATTTTGAAAATTGGTATAGTGGAGTTTCTGTTTCTCAATACTTATCTAGAGAAGCATATAAAGAGTTTTAGATTCCTGCAGGGCTCCCAGTAGGACCTGGGAAAGTGTCTCTCAAATGAGAAATGGTTTCAAGCTCACCTCTATACTGACTTCTCCCTGTGCACCGGGGTAACAAATCTGATAATTCCTGTTTGAGTGTTGGGGTTTTGCTTCCAGTGGAGCAGCAAATCTGTAGAACACAAATCTAACCAGGCAACAGGAGTTACCAGTGCAGTAAAAGTTCTTAAGTTGCTACTGCTACTGCAGACCAAGGCCTCCACTGACACCTGGAGAAACTTTGTCCTGGTAGTGAGTAGACAATTCTTACAACAGCATTTGCTATGTTCTCGTTCAAACCAAGCTCTACATCTCTTCACTCTTTTTTTATTTAATGTCCCACAATTTCATTAATACGAAAAGCAATATCCTCCAAATTATTTATTTTAATGTTCCCATTTTCCTATATTATCTTGGTATCTGGCAAACATACACAGGAGGCACAGAACAGTACCTGTCACAGAAGGTAGTTTTTAACTTATGCTTGTTCTTGCTTATAAAACTCACCCTCTCACATGAGCAAGGGGAAGAAGGTAGACTCACTCCTCAGCAGGGTTTACATATCCCTCTTTATAATGGTAATTTTTAGCACATTCCTCTTTTAAACAAAAATCAGAATGTTTAAAAATTTTTATATTAGCAAAAGAGAGGGAGGACTGGGAAACACAATCTTGTTGATTACTTTATCTGAGACCTATCCTACCTACATTATGTAGTTGTAAATTAGTTTTGTAATTCAGTGAACAAATGCCTAAGTGCATCATTGAGTGAACATGCTTCAGCCTTAGCAAGGAACCTCAGGAGAAACTGGACACTGGAATGCACAGGGCTTACTTCTGTGTACACAGATTCACATCTCCAAAACCTGCCACTGAGCTGTCATCCCCAGGGCTCACTGTAGGTAAGAAACAGAAAGGATGTAAAGCAATTAAAGCTATTTGCAAAAAAAACCCTAAATGAAAATTACATTAACTAAAAGTTATGTTGGGCTGTTCTCCACTATCTCTGAACAGAGTCAGACAAAGCTATTTAAGTTTAGACTGTCAACTATTCTTGCCTCCAAGAGGAATTACTTAAAGCTTGGGGAATGATCTTGTGGGACATCCTCTGTGTAAGTGAAACATGGAGATTTTGTGAATGAAAAGTAATTTGTAGGGAATTCTTCTGTGCAGCAGAAAATGGCATTCTCCTGCAGGGAAAGGAAAAGGACATTACCAACTAACAATCTGCTTCCTTTCTTTTAGAAAGGTAACAATGACTTGTTACAAGGGTAGAGAAAATCAGCCTCCCACCTCAAGTGCATTTGGAGGAAAGTTCTGATGCTCGGCCCCAGATTCACTCCATGGTTTGGGCTCTGTTTTGGGATCTGAAAGGGTTCTATTTTTTGATTTGGACTGAGATACTTATGGTAATCTCTGTGTCCTTAGAAAGACAGAAGCTCATAAGCTGATGAGAGTTTTGAAATAACATGTGATTCCTATACAATTCCTACTGCTTGAACTCTCCACTTGTGGACAACAATCTTAAAAGAAAAATTATGGCACTGATACTCCTGATCTTTAGTCCTTTTCTTTCCCCCAGAGTATTAACCTGGTCTTTAGTGGCATTTAAGCACTGCTTCCTCAGTTCAGCAACAGTTGTATTACTCTGTGGCATGTTAGGAATTTTTTTGATCTATTTCGTGTTTTTTAGATCAGCCACTAGATGGCACTTAAAGTTTGCTTTCTTTTCCACTTTTTTTCTAGAGGTATTTTTCAAAGATCTGTTCATCTATAATTAAGAGTTGATGACTCCCATTGGGACTGTGTTGGCGGAAAGCAAGATGCAGCAATATTTGAGTGAAAGCAGGCAAAAGTATAACCATTAAAGCGGGAACAATGACTATAATTTAAATAAGATTTGGGTGGTTGCAGTGTTTGCATAATCCCTCCTGGCATGCAAGAGCAGTAGAGAAGCCTGTGGCTTTGCTCTCCTGCTGCGTTTCAACAAAAATGGAAAATTGTAATGAACAGCAACATTTTTCCTATCTTTCATATTCACTCTCTTCTTACTCTTTCTTCCTCCATTCCTTTAAGTGGATTGGAGTCTACTTAAGGATTGCATTGTTAATGTATAGCTTGGTAAACTCTGCACTGGATTTTCCAAATCAGATGCCTCTGGCTGCAAGTTCAGGATATAAATTAAAACTTAGTATGTGTTAACCCAGTAAGGGCAGGTGACATATAGTATCCTGAATTATGTAAATTTTTACTAAGGTTACCTAATTCTGTATTGGTTGCTACTCCTGTAATAACATAGTCTGGAGCTCTTATATTTGTCTTCCCCCTCTTCTAATTTTTTTTTTTTTAATAACTAACATTGTATTTTGGCTTAAAGATGGTTAAATAAGTTTTGGTAAGTAAACTTCTATGACCCTGCCTATTTCCTGTCCTGTCAAACCTTTCCTTGTAAGAATAACAGTGTCCTTTTATTTGGTGGAGTGTAGCATGATGTTTTTGGCAGGCTCAACATTTTTGACTTGCATAAATTTGTGACCTCAAGTGCAAGAAAAGTGAATGCTTGCTTCAATGCCTCATGGTTTCTGCCTAAAAAGAAAAGTGTCCACATCGCTAACCATTACAATTTCTGAAGGAAAATTATCAGCACACTTATTCCACCTGATTGCACATGACTGCACTTCCAAAGAAAAGAACCAGAAATAAAAATAAGTATTTTGCACCTAGTTATGTAAGGTACCAAAAAGCCTGAAAATATAGGGCAGAGTGTACTGCCTTCCTGGTTTCTAGAATTGGCACACGTGGCGATTCCCTCACTAACAGCTATTTGGCAATCTCTGCCTCAGTGAGGATGTGATTCTGCAAAGTGTAAATTTGGGTCTGCTGCTGGGCAGAGAATGTCACTGCATGGTTAAAGGTTGCAGGATCAGGTCTGAACTGAATTTACGTAATTATTTTCCTACGCTTTCCCTCCATTAACTGTGGTTATTTAGCTCTTTACCACTGCAGTGATGCTTTTCCCCTACTCAGAACACTGCAAGAAAGCCTTTTACCCTGCCAAGTCTGAAAAACTGACAGATTAATTTTATATTGAGAGCCCTCATCCAGAAAGTAACTACTGTATTTGAATATGTAAAGTATGTTTAAACAAACATATGTGAGCTGTATATCCCTACTTACTTGTTTCCCCTTAGGTTTTGATGGGTTTTTTCATTATGTCACAAAAATTTTATATTAATCTTTGGCTTTGTAGAGAACATTTGTATGGTAAATTTTGGAACAAATACAAGGTTTATATCAATTAATATTTCTTGTAGGCTTGAGCTGAAAAAAGTTATCTTTTATCTACTATTGTTTATAGCAAAGGAATTAGTTTGCTTTCGTTTTGTAGGAGGAAAAAGAAAAAACAAACAGTCATGAATGTAGCATCTTTGGCCAGATTCTTTTAACATGAGTATTTTGTGGTTTATGGATTCCTAGTCTGAAAGGTTGTCTCCAAGTGTCCAAGACAAAATAACTATGTGTCCTAGTTGGAAGGAAATGTCTTTCCTTTGCAGCTAAACTAACTGTGCCATGTCTAGGAAGCATGGCAGAGTATAGTATCCAATGCTGCCTTGCTAACACACCTCAGTCCTGACTACAACCTCCCTGCCTGCCCAGCTTGCACTCTGCTCACTGCCAAATTACAGGGACCCTTCCGTAGGGTGCAGGACAACATCAAGGAATCCCCACTTGTCAGGTTTTCACAGCAGCAAACACAAAACACCAGTCTTGCTTTCCTACGCTTCCATGTCACAGCTATTGCTGGCAGGCAGCCAAGCTGTCAGCATTACAGGTAATTCAGGCCATTTAAATCCTGCAGGAACTTATTGTTCATCCTATCTATGGCTGTATCTTAGCAACATATGCAGGCTGGAGCAGTGAAAGAGAAGGAGGTGGTGTTTTGTTAGGGGATAAAGTAGGATATTTCAATCCTGTTCTTACCTTTCTTCTCAACTTGCATTAAGGCATCAGTAATGTGAGAAAATTGAAAAAGGAGCTGTGATAATGACAGGAAATCATGCATCCAGCAACAGAGAACTCATTGCCCTTCCCAGATGTGAAGAGGAGGTGGCTGAATAAGAACAGACTCAGCACTCCCACTTCATTATTTTGGTGAGGGTTTTTTTGACTGGTTGGTTGGGTTTTAATATTAATCATATCAATTAAGCTACTAAAAGTTTTCCAGGAAAAACTGGATGAACCTCACTGCCTGGAAGACTGCTACCAAATGAAAAGCCAAACTGCTGCTCTGGGGAGGCAGCACGGTACTGGTATTTTTGTCAGACAATCATTCCTCGCTGTCCATCTTGTTATCAGTTTCTAGCCAAAAAAGGCTTTAAGAGTGGCTTTGAAAAGGGCCTCATATTTCTGGAAGCATGACAGATGTGTCCCACCCCAGGTCACCTGCAAAGAGCCTCCAGGCTGCTGTTCATAGCTTTCCCAAATGCCAGCTAAGTCTGACTAATAGTCAAAACAGGCAAGCTTTCACCATTGTATCTTGAGCAGGCTGGAGATCTGCTGTGTGGGAGAAAGTAGCCTCTGTTTGCATTTACTTTTTATTTGGATGACCTTTGAAATGCTTAGCGTTTATGAGACAGCTTGGACTGAGCAGAAAAGCATAGCTCAGGCACTTCCAGGTAATTTGGTTCCTACAACAGGATTTTGGATTTTTCAGTTTTCAGCTCTGTCTGCTGGCCACCTACTTGCCAACAGAACCTGCCTATTTATTTTTACATCATTTTCTGCTAACAAAGTTGATTTTAAAACCATGAGAACTACATTAGTAACAATAACAACAAATTGGACTCCACCTCTGTCCCCCTACTCCTGAAGTTTGCTATTCAAATGCACAGAACATATGTCCAAGGCATGGCTATGTGTATATTACAGCATGCAAATGATCACTGATGCCAGGGCTGCATACAAGCTAAATGAAAAATTATTACTCATTTGCAATTATTCCAAGACATTTTGAGTTGCTGCCAAAATAACAGAACAGCTGGATGAGGAGAAGGATAGGATCTGTTTAAGCTGGCACTCAGGCTACAGAAACTCATGCAAAGTCACAGCCATGGTTGTCTGGAAGACTTAACTTCATCCCACTGTTGAGCTGGTGCACAACAACACGTGTTGTTGCGTGCTAACAACATCTGCCCAGAAAATGGGTCGCTCTTCCAGTCTCCAGTATATTTGAGCTGCTGGAGAACACTGAGTGCCTCTAGAGCCACAGAGCAACAAAAACAATGTCACATCAAAATCAGGACTGACTGCCTGTGGCAGGTTTGTTCATCATGATACTACATTGTGGATACTAACCCACGTTAGAAATTATATGGCAGTTTATTACAAATACTGTGACTGTTTGAATAGAGTAGATGTGGAGAAAACTAAGGCTTAACTTGTATCTTTTACCCCCTTAGGATCTCCCTGGATAGAACCTTTTTCTCCTTGTGCCTTTGCTCATTGATCTCTACCTTCTGGATCGCCAAACTTTCATCTCCAGGTGTGCCATCAGCTAGCAGGAAATGGATAAGGTGATTAAATAGGAGCTTGAAAAATTCATGTGAAATTTGCTCATTTCTAGTGATAGAGAAATAATTTAAGCTGTATTTAACTGGTGCAAAAGAAAAGTGCTTACAAGTTAGGCATTAGAATCAAAATAACATTAACAGCAAAACTCCTGGGTTAGCATTACAAAGCCTATGCCAATAGTCCAGGGAAAACCTTTTTGGTGCAACTCCATCACAGGTCTATTAAGTTGCCTCTTCTACTGATAAAAGTATTTTACACGGTCTCACTGGTCTGTGCATGTTCCCAAAGTCTGGTGGTGTTGCTGGCAAAGCTTTATTATATTCCTGCATTACATAGGGAACTGTGCAAGTGCTAAACAAAAGAGAATGACATCCAACTGCTAACAAAGACATGTTGGGTATTCAGATTTCCCCCCTCTTCCCATAGCCAAAGTGGCAGTCAGACAAAGGCTTCTTCTGAATCCTCGCTCATTGTGTGAAGCACAACTCAAACAATCACCAAATGGTATTAATCATGGCCTTCCATAGCTCTATAACTAATATTTTTAAAGTTATCCTGCATGCTAAATATAATTTTCAGCAGCTGAAAACTGTGAAACTGATACAACCCTCATCAGAATACTGAGGGTACTGGCACTGCTTTAAAACCATTTCCATACTCAACTTGAACAGTTTCTATGCACATAGATCTTTAAGTAAAGTCAGAGGACTGCATATTTTAATAGCTATGGAAGTATTTTATTGGATTCATGTTTGTTAATGCCCAATACTCAAGGTCAAAAATAACATTTATATATTTGGCTAGAAGCATTGCCTTGCAAGAGATCAAGATGCCAGAAAGTTATGCTTGATCAACAGTAGATGCCCAAGGGATTTGAATGAAAACACTTGGAAGAATTAAACCAAGAGCTGTCAAGAGTCCTCTATCTATAAATGCAGTTGTTTTTAGTAAACATCTGTTGAGTGTTTTTAATTCACCTAAGGAAAATATGTTGGAATTATGGTTTTTTATGTGTTTCTGGGACATGAGATCACAAATTGCCAAAGAACTTTGGCACGATTAAAAGGAGTGAGAGTCAGACAGAACACTTCAAACACTAATCAGGGCAAATTCTGAATGTTTGCCAAGTGAAATGCAATTGATCAGGGTTTGTGCACTGCTGACTACTGAGAGATGACAAAAATCTGTCTAAGGAGTAATTACTGGAAGAGACAGCTGTGGGGTGGGACACAACATTGGCCTCATATGATCTGTATAGAAGAAGTCATTAATATAGAATTACATCTGAGATACAGTATAGTCATAAGACTGAGGGACCTTCTCGCAGAGTCCCTTTTGTCCATCAAAATGAAACATAGAATGCTTCTGATATTTCACAAGCTCAAAGTTATTCCTAAGGGCAAGAACTAGTCAGCTATGTCATAGTCTCCCCAGGGAAGCTGTAGAAACCCTTCTGGCTTGATGCAGACAAAGGAAGGAAAAAGCACCCCACAGAGAACAGCCCTGCATTGGCTGGTGGGTTGAGTAGATGACCTGATGGGTCTTTTCCATCTATAATTTTATTCTGTGGCTTTGATACTGAAGCCCTGTGGACATCCACAGTGCTCTTGCTTTCCTGGAAGCTTTAATAAAGATCTGGTTTGGAACTTGGAATAACTAATACCACTGAGCAAATGACTCTAGTATGGGGTGAGAGGAAACAAGAATGCCAGTGGGAACATGCCCTGTCACGCTAGTTAGGTTTATTCTGGCCATGAACACCAGGATTCCCTGCAACACTTGCATCAATATACAGTAACTGCAATGGATGTCAGCAGGCTGCTTACTTCAATGCAGAAAAAAACCAGTGCATAACCACTAATTGAACTGTTTGCCCAAGATATTGTTTGGATTTATAAACTCCCATGTCTGGCCTGGTCCAAAGACTTTAGTTCGTTAGGAGGTGCAGAAATCAATCTAGAAATCCTCACTCAGCAACAAACGTGTCAGTATTTCTCTACTCTTCACCTAATGTGTGGCTATCACAAGCCTAATTCCTCTTCACTGCAGCACATCTCTTGTTAAGGTTGGTACAAGATCACAAAAGCCACTTTGTCACATTTATTCATCAGTCCAAAGACTGTACTTTCAACTTCACCCTGTTGCCACTGGAGTTACCTCAGGGGCAAACACAATTCCAGTTCTACCTCAGAGAACAGCAGGAAGATTCACAATCTCTCTTGTCACCCAACACTTGGTCACAGGGACAAGGCTTGGTTCTCTGTGTGAGATACACCAGAAGCCCCTAGGACAGAACCAGTTTTGAGCAGCTTCTGTTGGTCCATAGAGCAGAGCTCCTCAGCTAACAGTCAGGTTCCCAACGGTTTGCAAAATCTAAAGATATTTTGCCAATACATTAACTAAATGAAATATGGTAGAATGTAGCCTACAGCAACACAGATCTGAATCTAGAAATCTAATCTGTGGAGGAATAGTGGTACCAGAGGAATATTCTGACTCAGCTGGAGCAACTTCTCAGATCTGAAGGAAACTTTGCCCACTGGGAACTCACAGCAGGTCACAGCTCTGTTTCTCATGAGATTGGCCACATCTGTTCCCTTTTATGCAAGAGAAACACTTCATTAGGGCCCTATGTAACCTTCTGTTGGGCAATACTGGGCACTCCTGGTTTCTCAAATGGTGAATCAGTGGGTTCCATTATTGCTTCATACCTCATACAGTAAAGTTTTGGGTGGGTTCTTGGACGAGAATCCTGGCTCTGAAAGGCGTGTTTGATATGGCAGCCTTGGACACAGCCATATAATAATTCAAGCAGTTCTTACAAAGTGCATGTGTTTACTTACATCAATAAGCATAAAATGAAAGCCATCACTTTTGCTATTGTGTAAAATAAAAACACATCAATGCTATTATATCTCCTGGAATTCAGGGGGACCTACACAGACAAAGGACCCTGCTATGTGGCTTAGGAAAGTATCTTAAATCCCAGACCTTTCCATCTGCTGCAGAATGGCCCTGTGGAAAAACCTCCTCCAGAATTGAAAGCTGACTGTAAAGGTCCACACAGGCTGGTATCCTCGAAATTCAGTGAATCAAACTGCACAGATATGCAAGGCAGAACAGAATCTGGCACTTAGTAACATATAAGTTGCTCTTTTGAAAATTTTTGAATGTTTCTTATGACTTCAGCAGTTTATTACTTGGCTCTATCACAATTCAGTTTACTCTCTAATTTCCAGAGTAAATTTGAAGTCTGAATGCATTAGAAAGCTTGAAGAAGCACTAGGCTGTTACATAAGCACTGAAGGTAGCTGCAATTTTAAAAAAATACAGTGGGAGTCTGACTGCTGAAATCGGTGGCATTCATGCTGGGCTTTAACAAAAAACTACTTTTAGAGTGAATGAGTAGAAAGGTCTTGGGCCCTCAGATGTCATCCCTTTCCTTCCTTTAGTCTGGACTGACATGGGGATGGTGGGTGAAGACTGTGGTAGTTACCCTTAGTCCAGCAGTAGACTAAATCCAGCATGAGTGTAAGTGGACACCAGGACTGACTTGCCTCTGCCACAGGTCAGGATTTAGTTTCTTTCAGTCATTATCCCATAAAAATGCAATAATCTTTTTTAGTGACCTATACCTCTTTCTGTAAAACCCTTAAGCATGGGGTTGAAGGTACAGACATGACATTTGGTCAGCACAAATCCACTCTCAGACTTACCATGCCTAAACCTAAAATAGTCGTTAGTATAACAGGTAATTGAACATAGTGTCACTTGAAAGCCTGTTTAACTAATCAGTCCCTCACTACACAGAAAAATTCTTGGTGGGGAAATAGTTCTGTTTGTTCCCATTCTTACCTTAATGTGATATTGCTGCTATATTTTGTCCTCCAGAAAGCACAAGGGACTGTGGCTTTGCAGCTCCCTCTTTCCGCTAAATGCCTCACACAGATGACACACCCTTAGCAGTGCTGGGCCTGAGCTTGGGAACATCAGCGTGTTCCAAAAACCAGAGTTCCCACATTGCTCCATAATTCGCTGCTATCGGGTTACTGGGCCAGCCACAAATTGACTAATGTAATAGTCATCAAGGATCAGGAGGTTTTAGGGCAAGTGCTTAATTTTCAGGGGAGGGTGATTTGTCCTTTAGGTTCACAAACACTTTATCCACACACAAACGAGCAAGAAATCCCCATCTGCCAGCCATACACAATACAAAAATAAAAGGGAATCTACAACCTTAACTTGCAGTGATAGATCTTAGACAGGGCCCTCTGAATTCTGTCAGTGCTGTTTGTGCCGCGGGTGCTTCCCCAGCTGCAGGAGAACAGGCCAAGGACATGAGAGCCACTGGGACTCAGCACTGCAGAGCATTGCTTGCCTTACTGTGACTGAGGAACATCATTCTTAATTGGGTATCATTCCCTCTCCCTTGCTGTTTTCAGCCCACAAACCAAACAGCAACAGCAATCAAGAGCAATTCCTTTCCCCCCACATGCTTCACTAATGAAATGAAGCTTTTCCTACAAAATCATTTCAGTCTCAGAAAATCAGATTAGGCTTTTCCTAAGCTAGAAGGGTCTTTTGAGGTGCTCTTTGAACTTCAGCTTTGCATGACTCATTGCTTACTTCTCATAGTCTTTTAGCAACCAAACTGGTTCATAACGTGCAAAGAGGGACTTTGCTCCAGCTGTAACAACAGGTTAGATTAGAAGAAAACAGGACTTACGTCTTCAGTAGCTCAAAATCCTGAACACAACTGATGTTTTCTTCACTGGACCAGCTCAGCAATGCTGCAAACACTCAGAAAGTGGTGAAATGAGCACAGGCTGTAATTATTGGCTGCAGCTGTTTGCACCAGCCAGTCTCCTGCTAACTACCTTTAATTGCCAGTGTCATAGAATCAGAGAATGGTTTGGGTTAGAAAGAACCTTAAAGTTCAAACCCCCTGCCATAGGCAAGGACAATTTCCAC